GGATTCGGATTCGGATCCCGTAAACATAAAGAGTGTAGTGTAGTAATAAGCAAGATATTTTTGCAAATAATATTGTACATTGTAGCTTCACTCATTCGAAACCTTTTTTTGTAAATTCATGAATTAAATTTTAAGAGCAATAACTAAAGATAAAAGATACTCTTTATATTTCAGTTAACCTCAAGAAGAGTAGGTTTGAGTAATGCAAAATTTTGTAGGTTGGTTGGTTGAATGTACGACGATTCAAGTTTTTGTTGTGATTTGTATAATTTAACAAAATTTTTTTTTGTTCCAAAATAATAAACAAAGCGCTTGAATATGCCGGGCTAAATTAGTATAGTAAACAAAAACATACCTAAACCTCTCCCCACCACTCCCTGAGTTAATTTTCACATGCCATCAAATCAGCAAAATGCTTAGCTTTATTTGTTTATTTTTTTTTACTAATGTTAGCCATTAATTTAGCTTAAAAGTTGAAATTCTTTTAGCTTTCTGGTTATCAAATAAAATTTAAATTAATTATTTACTTGCTTAGGCATTGCATATTTAAGCTCTGACACATGATTCAATTTATTGCAATTTGATTTCGTTAAATTAAAAAAAAAAAAGTTAATTAACATTAATATTAAATATCGATTTCTCTTTAATTTTTTTTTTTTAATATTTTATTATTATTTTTGATTGTATGATTTGATAAGATTAAAACCGTAACGTAACAATAAACAAATTAATAAAAGTAATAATAATTTTAAATGCACAATCAATTTTTCACATTTCAAATTAATAACTTTTAATTTTGCTTTAATATAATTAACATGAACATGAACTCATAGTTCAATTTATTGTAAGTATTTACAATATTTTGTAATCTAATTAATTAATTAATTGTTAAATGTCGATTGTTTACGATTATGTTTTACAAACCGAAAGCGTGCAGAGGTCGGATTTCAATAAATCAATTTCATTTAAGTTAATTAATGAAAACGAAAGTCATAATAGTTTCAATTAAAAATATTATTAAGAAAAAGAGATTAATTAACAATATTATTTAGAAAAAAAAATAATAAAAAATAACAAATACAAAAAAAAAGTTAAAAAAAAATATTATTAAAAAAAAAATTAATTAAAAATATTATTTAAAAAAAAAACTAAAAAATATATATATTTATTTTTAATAGCATTTATAATAAACATTAACAATTTCATTAATTTAATATTAAATTTCATAAACTGCAACGTAATTACTGAAATTTTTTTTTTTTATATTTATTTATTTTCTTTTTCGTTATTCACTATATAATTTTATTATTTTTTTATTATTGTGATAAGATTAAAGGTAGATTTTTTTTCAATTTTCCAAGTTATATATCAAAATGATTTAGAACTTTCTAGATAAGTCGAAAAGCATTTTAATAACTATTTATATGACAGGAGGAATATACTAAAGAAAACGTATATCAAAATAAGGGGCTCGATCATTTATTTTTTTTTTTGTTTATAAAATTTTTGTATTTTGTTTTACTATATATAGAAATCTATTAAGCGATTAATAAAATAAATGCGCATATAGATTCTTAATTGCAATTTCCAATTGTAAATCTTATTAAATCAAATTTTAGTACAAAGTTTTGAGATAAACATTTAGATTTCATTTCAATGTCAAACAATTTTAAATGAAAAATGATATTAAAATAATAAAAAAGAACACAGGAATATTTTTTTATATTTTTTAAAAAAATGAATTATAAACAACAGTTTTCCTGACCCAATCACTTAGAAGCAGAGATTTAATATTAAATCAGGCCGAATTTAATCATATTTAAATTAGTTTCGAAAGCAGACAGTTAAAATAATAGTCACTTATGATATTAAAGTTATATATTCTGTATGAAGATGTCTTTAAACACATCTCCAACTACTCCCCAGGGTCAGGATTTCATATGCATTTTTCTTTTTTTTTTTTTATTCAATCAAGATCAACATTAAAATTATTAACCACAGTCATTCGAAAGTGGAGAACTCACGAAATTTGTTATAAAAAAACTGAGTTAATTTGATATGTGATTGATATTTCATATCAATCAGGACTTTATCTAACATTTAAACACTATTATGTTTAAGAATATTTAGGTAGTTTTCATCGGTCACATTTTTTCTAGACTTTTTATACTTCATTGCAAATGATCAGGATTTCTTCTAGACTCTTGATTTAGATATTTTCAAAAATATTTATGAGAATAATAAATGGTGTGAATTGAAAATTAAGTCCATCATTCCAAATGATCAAGATTATTTTCATAGTTTTGATAACTGGTATTTCCCAAAGGCCCTATTAAAACTATATTCGGTATAAATTGAAAATTAAGTTCTTCACTGAAAATGATCACAATTTTTTCTATAGTTTTGATACTGCTATTCGTAAAAGAGCATCTTTTATTTTTGAAAACGATAAGACTATATACATACCATATACATATACTATATTACTTTGATCAGAAGTAAAATCGCATGTATTTAAAATATTGATTTTAATTTCAATCCGTAGTGCGCCATTAATAGACAAATTATTAATAATGACTGATATTTTGGATCATTAAAAACGAATAATTTAAAGAAAAATAAAGCACCCATTACACATTTAGTAAGATTAAAGGGGTATATCAAATAGTTCTGAGAAAAATATAAACTAAAAAATACATAATATTACATCTATTCATGATCAGCACATTGACTGTCATGTAGATGTGGTAATTTATGATCTATCATCTGATCATCTGATTTATATTTATTAGTTCTGGTAAATTAGGGAGTTGAAAGTACCTATTACAACTTTTCATGATAATCAAAGACATGATCATATAGTTGTGATATATTTTTAACCTTTTTATTTCCATTACAGCTCTTCATGAAAATTAGATTCATTATGATGTATTTATAAGTTAAGAATTTAGTTATTATTAATGAAATATTATTTTTTATTGTTATCTTTTATAGTTTAACTATATAACTAATGCCGTTATGTGATATTTGCCTACCTTGCGAATAGCAAGTTTTATTTCAAAATATCAACTATGGACTTTAAGTCGAAAACCCAACTATTTTAAAGACAGTAAAGGAAAAATCTATATGATCTTTCCTGAAATTTTATGGACTTTAAGTTGAAAACCCAATTATTTTTGAGACAGCAAAGGAATTTTCCAAGAGATCTTTCTTGAAATGTCATGGACTTTAAGTCGAAAACTAACTTTTTTTAAAATAATATAGGAAAAATCTAAGAAATGTTTTCTGAAATTCTATGGGCTTTAAGTCGAAAACCCAATTATTATTGAGACAGTTACGGAAAAATCTAAAAGATCTTTCCTGAAAAAATAATATTATTCGAAATTTAAAGCAATATAGTAAGTAAATATCGTAAATTCGGTGCTAATAAGGTGCTATATTAGATCACTTACATTTAGACCACGCCAAAACTCTTGTAATGTTGTGTGGATGTTGAAATCCATTTATCTGTAGAATTAAAATTTAGTTTTACAAACAAATTTTGAAAAATTAAAATATATAATAGAATTATATATATAGTATTATATTATATATTAACTTATTTGTGTATAAATTAATAAAATTATTTATTTCATATAATAAAAGTAATAGAGTTTTTTTTTTGATAATAAATACTTAAATATTATTTATTAATAATTTGAAGAAAATATTAATATTAACTTTTGAGATTCATGTATAATGGAATATATATAATAAAATAATAATGTACCTTAATTATAATTATTTTTGTTAGTTTTTATTTACTTATTACTAGGTATGAATATTTTTATAATAGGTTTTTAATAATATATAAATTATAACTATTCTTACTTATCTACAACATTCTTATTTAGTTTATTTTAGATTTGATAAGTTTTATGCTTACCTTTTTTAATAAATAAAATTTATAATCTAATTAAAATAAATAAAATTTTTAAATTAATTAATTAACTTAATTTAAACTTATAGGTTTTATGTTTATATTAATATATTAAAAATTAAAATTATTACCGGTGAATTATTTTTATAAATTTGTATAAAACTATATCTTAAATGTTTTCATTAATTTTAAACTTTACTTTGCTTTGATCGGACATTTGTTAAAAAAAATTATAATTAACTAATAAGTTTCATTAGAGGCTTTGGTTCCAGGAACGGCCGGGTCTACGTCTATGAACCACTTGTCAATTTTGATGACCATGTACCTCTCACCATTCCCAAAGTGAATTTATACGACAATAACATTAGACGCTTTCTATTCCTTTATCATTTTAAAGTTGTTAATTTAATTTATTTATTGCCTTAGAATGTTTATATTAGTGTATACCTCAATATTTATATGTTTAAATTTTGCCGGGCTTTAGGTCGTGTTTTTTTTTATTATTATTTATTTATTAATTTTATGTTGACGCTAGTTAAGTCAGTGCACTTAAGCACTTTTACTCTCTATTAACTGCGAGGTATCTACATAATTCCTCTCTACGCTTTGACTGGATTATTATTCATCACTTCATCAGACTAAACAATAACTAACATCAGATGGTGCCTGTAACCATTCTGAGATTCGATAACGCGGTGTTGTTATGTATATATATTTTTATTTAATAGATATTTTGGTCTGCCGTAACTGTAGATCATTTTCAATTGTTTTACAAAAAATTATAACTAAATATATAAAAACTACTTCTTACTAATACTTAATTCATTGATTCAAAATCATCAAAATTCAAAAATTCTTATTGGCTTCTTATAAGAGCATATGTTTAAATGGGTTTGTTGCCTAGCCTTATACCCTTAATGCCGACTATGACTATAAACTTATGCTTTGCTTTACTAGCAAAAAAAAAAATGCTAATAAAAATTCCAATTAGAATTGCCTACAATTCCAATCTCACTTAATTTCTAACACTAACGTACTTAAAAATCTATTTTTTTTTAATTTTTTTTACAACTGAACTTACCTTTGGCCAATTTGCATAGCACAATGCCGAACCACGTCACAGGCGTTTCGTTCTCATCCTGCATGTCTTCATGCTCGTAACTGTTGTTTTGTTGTTGCATATTGCTTGCAGTGCTCTTCCGCATCTCAACAATGAAGCCGCATTCGATAACAGCGCAGAAAATACGCTGTTCGTCACGATGAAACCATTTCGATTCCCGTAACTTTTGCACTGCCACAGAACTGCCAAATGTCGTATTACCATTCGCATTAGACCCTGTATTAGTGTTGTGACCCTGAAGTGGCCACCATTTCAGTGAATTGACAAAGCTATTAGAACGATTCATGTTGTTATTGAGCAGTAAATAGGATTTTTTTTTTGGTTTTTTACTGCACAATAAAAAGAATATTTACTCCTTTTTATGTATTTATCGTAGTAATTAAAATCGAAAATAAATTTTTTACAAATTTACACAATTTTTTCTGTATTTTTATTTGGTTTTTGTTACAAAAATGTTTGCGTGTACAAACGACAACTTGTATTTATTTTTCTATAAAAAAAAATTTGTCCAACAAAAATAAATTTTTATATCGTTTGTCTGCTTATTTTTATGTTGCACACACAAGTTTTTAACCTTTTTTGTTGTTGTTTCTTTTTTAGTTAAATTTGTTAATGCACTTTGGGCGCTTCGTTTTATTTTTACATTAAACTCAATTCCGTTAGATTTTGTGTATTGCTTTATGTTTTTTTTTATACAATTTTTACGTTAAAAATTTATAAAACACTGTCTTCTTCTATAATTTTTACTTCCAAACTGCAAGAGACTCAAAAGTCAAATACCACTCGTCCACACAGAAAATGTTTATTTAAAGCCGGTTTGCTTCTCCGCACTCAGCGCCTCTCACATCTTTGCCTCTCATGTGTTTACTTCGGTTTTATCGCGACGTAATTTGCTTTTTACGAGTACTTACTATGGTGAATTTGTACTGCACACACTCTTTTATCTTGACTAGTGTAGTGAGATTTGCTTTGCTTGCTCTTTGCTTTGTTCTTTAAATAGTAAAGAGCTTAACATATATACGTAAGTATATATGTTGTCTCTTTCGTATGTGTTTTATTGTTTATTTATTTAACTTTTATCTTCAACAGAAAAAGCTCAATATTGTTTTCTTGAAAATGTGACGTTTGTGTACATTTTATTAATTTTTTTTTATATTTTTGATAAATAAGCAAAATAGTAAATAAATGCAAATTCGCGTGCCTTAGAGATTTGGCAACATTTTGATGGATGAGGCTGAGCATCATTGATTTATGCTGGTCACAATAATCATAATGACAAATTTAATTTAAATCAAATGATCATCTAAATATTTACATTTTTAAATTTATTTAGCACATTTTCTTATTTATCTTCTATAAGTGAATAAAAATAAAATAAAAATATTTTACCCTAAATTTTTTTTGAATTAAGTAAAGCACTCATGACTATATAGATGAGCTACATTTGTATATACAGAATGGCTGACGATAATTTTAACAAACTTCGCACGGATGTAGCTGTCAAAACAATAATGACGGAAAGCTTAAAATTAATTAAGTACTAAAGCCCTAGGCAGATGAGCATTGGTTGAAAAACAACATTCCAGTAAAAATAAACGCCCAAATCTATTGGCAATAATTTGTGAAAAGGAGCACTAAAGCAATGGGCAGATGAACATTTCGTTGGATTGACCAAACATTGCATCAACCAAGAATGGCTGAAAAACAACGTTCCGTGCTTTATTCCATCAACACAGTGGCCACTGTGTTCACTTGATACAAATCATTTAGATTTCTCGGTTTGGGGTATTTTAAAAAGTAAGGTTGGTTCTAAAAAATACCAAAATATCGATCGTCTTAAGCAAGCGCTAGACCGAGAATGGGCCCAAGTACCGCAAATCAATTTGTGGGCAGTGTGCGATAGCCTCATTGGCCGTTTGAAGGCTATAATTTATGCTAGTAGTGACCATATTGAACTAAAATAAATTAACTTAAAAATTTAAAGTTCTTTTCGGAGCTTTATGTTTGGATATTGTCCACCTAAATCTCTTGTGTTCTTTGGATGACAGCACCCACTTAAAGTGTAACCAAAAATTTTAAACTTTTTCTGCGAAATTTTAGGAGTTAACAACTGTTTTATAAAGACAAAACAGTATCCAGGACAACAAAAGTTGCGGGCATCTAAATCTTGTGATACTAACTTCCCCGCTAATGTAGTAAAAGCCTAGTTGCTACCACTTATAATCCATATCGGGAATATTTATAGTATAAGCCATATTGTGATATCTATCGATTCTATCTCTTTTCTAAACGTAAATGGTAATAAAAATCTGTTTATTAAATTAAATTTTAATGTCCGTTTTGACGAAGAAACTAAATTTTTAAAATAAACTTCTAAAATTCTTAATAAAAAAATCTGTTTATGTAAATTAACAACTCCAAACAATGCACGGAATCATTATGTTTACTGCGAGACGCCGCGGCTCTTCTTGGATTTTGAGATATCCACTATCGTTACGATTATATAAAATGATTTCGTTAATTTTTTGAACCACCGAATTCGGTAGTGAAGATCATTAAGTATTATTAAAGCATGTATGTTCATGTTTAGATTGCACAAACCATCGAGCAATAGTTGATTTCGACTAAACAGAGTCATCATTGCACTGCTTTAGTCATTGTTGAATTTTAACAGCATTTTTACCTGTTTAGAAATAATACTTTGCAGTGGTATAGTCAGAGGGAATTAGGGACAATATAATCTACATTTTATATAAGACATTGCAAAATCACTCGAAAAATTTTTTTGTAGTATATCTCTCCTCTCGTAGTATCCTGATTAAGCCGCTGGTTGGTTGCAGTGGCTGATCAGCAAATATTTTCCCATTTCTCATAATAAGCGTTTATTCACCATTTCAATACCACATTCCTTGTAAGAAATGTCTATAATAAACTAGATCCATCATTTTGAGTGTTGTAATTTTAATATGTAAATATGTTCCCTTGTTAGCTAAAGCTGAGCAATCACAAAAAAAAAATACATAACTAAACATTAGATTGTCATAAAATTTATATACATAAAATTTTTCAAGTTGCATTTCCTTAAAATCAAATAGATTTGTCATTAATGGCGCTATCTGCATGTCATTATATGAATTTATTGAGTGAGTACTATAACATTAAGAAGCGTTGACGTCAAATATTACTGCTTTAACTATAGAAACTCCTTTCTAATTGTCCCCATTTAATTAAAATTACTTCTGAATAGTCAAATGAACTTATAGCTATTTATAGTTTCTTATTATAATAAGTTTATTAATAATCGATTTCTATTTCTATACGGCAATATGATTCTAAAGTATCTGTAATAAAAAAAAACTGAAATCATAGTTTCCTTATTCCTTTGCCCACGAATGAGTCGTAGTACAAGAAATAGTACACAATTCACGTGTTCAATAATTCTATAAATATAAAATAATACGCAATAGATAAGGAACTTATATCATATATACCATAAATTTAATACTATAATATAATTCATTTGTTATACGTAATTAAATGAAAGTAATTCGTTCTTTTGAGTTCTATAATTGCGGCCGTAAAAATAGGTAATAGCGTAAGAGTAGTTTTGCTGAGAAGTAGTTTTCTGCGAGTATTAATAAAATGTTCTATAGCGTTTAATTACTTATATAAAGAATTTAGAAAAAATTTACATATTGCAATTTAATAAACTTATACGCTTTATGGGTTTAGTATATAAAATTTTTATTAATCGTAATAAATGTTTAACACAAGTATTTATTGCTAATTTAATTCGGTTAATTAACTTAAACAGTATTTTATGTTGTCATATTAAATTTATTGTAAAATATTTTGTTTCCGTATATACATATATATATATTGATTTTTTTTACGTAAGTAAATGCATTTGTATAAAAAATAATATTAGTCATATTAGTCTAAATCAATCTTTTTTTGAAAATTTTATATCTGGTAATATTTTCCTCTTTCTCCTCTAATCCACACCTATAATAGTAGTTAATACGTCTATTAGTATAGTAATTACATGGAACATGGAAAAGTTATAAAGACCAATTAATTGCTTTATTCTGATTTCTGATTATGGATGAATCATATCACGCATGTAGTTTAACATAGTTACCCACCATAGTAGCATAAGTCCATCTTTTTAAAACATTCCAAATATATAGACAGCTTAAATAATACTATATCTAAGTCCACATTTTGTTTAATAGATTTGTTTAATGTAGGCAAAACATTGGCTATGGACTAGACTTAGGTCAATAAATATATAAATATTTAAATCGGAACAATATTTACACTTGGCATATCCTATTCCATAGGCTAGCGGCGACCATAGTCTTTATAAAAGATCTAAAGTAAGAACTAAGCTTACTCTCACTTAAGAAACATAGAATAATGTATGAAATTCGGCTTCCAACTTATATATTTAATTGGCGTGTCTCGTGCTTGGTTGCGTACTGTAGACTGATTAGCAGTTTGTTGTCGCCAATTGGTAATTTAAATACGCACAACTGTGTCAGTATCACGACTCCTGCAGAAAAAGGATTATAATATTCCTGAGGTAAGGCATGCATGCCTGTCGTTAGAGACGTATTAAACTAAGTAGGCACCACCCGATATTGTTTAGAGTAGCAAGTGAGTTTCACTTGCAGCACCCAACCGGTGTTGTAAATCTTATACCACGGGGTTTAGGGCTCACAGCTCTCTCTTCTTGCGCAATTGACGTGGCCGTGGGAAAATTCTATAGATACCCAGTGAAAATGACGTTATTCTTCACTTTCATTGGATTAGAAGTTGCATGTTCCAACTGATTGCTATGCCCCAGAAAACAGCAGAGGTGTTGGATGGGTCTCTATTTCCTCGTATATGCTAATATCACGATATGACTTATCATTCAACCTAATTCTATACTAACAATGAACGGGGTCTTAGATTTTATTAATTTTCCTCTAAAAAGCTTTTAATACCTTCTCATCACTGTTGTTATTGTGAATATGTCTACTAATAAAGTGAGATTTAATAGAAGTATGGAAGTACACTACTTCAAAGAGAAATGAATGATAAAAAGGAAAAGATATTTATCCATCATGAGTCTTTTAATATGTTTTTAAATAAACACATTTTTTTACGCCCGTGATTAATTATTATTAACAAAAAAATTTTAATAAAAAAAATTATATTTATATATTTTATCTAAATTATTGTAAACAGAAGCCATATATATTTATTCGCTTATATAAATTTATATATTTTTTTAAAATAAAAATCTAAAAGAAAATAATCTCATAATCTTTACCGATGTTTTATCAAATAACACACATTTTTATTCATATTTAAATTTATTTAT